ACTTTTTGTATCGGATACAATAAGTAATTTTTTTTTGCTGACTAACATTTGTCATTATCAGGACTGAAAAGTCACTGGCTATAAGTATGTGCAGACAGTTTTGCAGTCATACAAACTGCACAACTGCTGCACATGTTTTGCACCAGTTTGATGTCTTGTGGGATTATGTCCCATCCATTTCATAGTCTGCACAAGCGTTGGTCTCTGTGTTTTCTTCTTCTGTAGGACAGTAACAATATACGTCAGTCAAGGAAATTTAAAATTTGCTGTGCCTTAAGCTTCCCATTAGAACGGAATTAAATAACCCGTTAGTATCTGGGATTTAAACCCAACCTGATTAAGAGCCCATGGCCCTGACCAATACTCCTCTGTTCTACTGCAATGCATAATACAGTGATGGGACTTGGGTATGATCCAGGACACACTCTGCAGTGATACTGCTCAAGTCTTTTCTACTTGATATTCTTTATAATTTCAGTGTAAGTCATTTGTTGGCATAGGTTGAGTTGACGGTATTATCAGAATTGTCGGGAATCTTATACAACACTTTTATGTAAATCATGAATTTATATATATAATATCTTCTGAGATTGTCCTGATTTGAGGTGGCAATTCATATTAATCAATAATTGTCTTTTAATTTGTTTTTTTGAGAACAATGCCATAAATTCTACTTCATTTTTGAGAGCAATGTTGCTACTTATAGATCAGGGTGTTTATTGAAAATATACTTTTTAGTGTTTTTAAACCTGGGCTTCTTATGTGGCATATCAGGTACAAACCAAAATTTAAGAAGTATCTTGTACAAATGCTCAAAATAACAATAAGCAATCTAAAATGTTCTTCTGCATTTATCTTTTTTGCTTTCAGTTAAAGAACATTTTTGTGCTGTACGGAGTTCTAGTCTGATTTATAGAATTCAATGTGTGCTATTATAACAATTTTGATATTTTAATATTCTTTATACCTGAAACTAGTACAAAAAGTCACATTCTTTAAGTTGTCAATTTGTAATGTCTTGCAACATGCGTTTTGATCAGTTTCGTCAGTTGATTGGATGTTAAGAATAGCCTGCTATACTTGAGCTGTAGACAGTTTGCTATTTACATTTGGAATGATATAAAAACTACCAAATTGAATCTTGTTTTGACTGCTGAAGTAGGTAAATTTTCTACTTTTCAGAAGTTCATGAGTTGAGGATGTAACATATAAAAGTGTAGGAACATTTGTTCAAACATTTTTCCGCCACTCCTGAGTTTTCAACCTTTACAGGTCTCTGAATTATCAATCTTGGCTGTCATGTAGATCAAATTTTGATTTTTTGATTAGGCAAAAATCTAAAGGACTAGAAAACATGCATTGATCCTGGTCATCAGGCGTCTGATTAAATTCTACACAAGATTGTAAAATATTTAAAATTAACTGCTGCTTTAATAATAAAAATAATACAGTTTAGCACAATTCAAAGAGAAGACTTGGAAATGTTTATATACATTTATATACAATAAATGAACTTGTAGTGCACAAAGAGGAGACAAAGTCCATAACTGTGTTCTGCAAAGAAGGAAACAAGCTTATAATAATGGTTATTGTTATGAAAAATAACTTAATAGCTTTAATTCAGGCATTAACATTACCTTATATATCATGACTAAAACAGTACAAATTCACTTAACATGTCTGTTGAAGGAAAACACATTTGGATGCTTTAGTTAATCTTTTAAGCATTCATTTGGAAAACGGTGTTCTATATAATTGCTACCAATTCATGTTGATGTTTAGGTTTTGAAGTTGAGAAAAGTGATTTGTGAAGGCATTTGCAATTTGTACATTTTCAGAATGTATTAAGTGGGTTAAGAGAAGTATGAAGTATGAACAGTCTGTTAATGAGTAGGGTCATGATGTCACTTCTAGCACCGTGAGAAGAATGGATAATTAGCTGCAGCCATAACCTCGTGTGCTTGGCCACTCCAGCTGATGAAACTAGAAGTATATCCTATGCTACCCTATTAACTGCCCCCATACCGTTACTAAAGAAATCAACCTCTGTTAATAATGATTCAGAATTCTTAATGCCACCTTTGCTATTAAAATTGAAGCAAAACACTATGTAAAAAGTTACAATTCAAAGAGTACCATCAACATTTTTGTGCTAACTTTAACCAGGTACCTTACATGTTAACTTATTTAAGAGGCTGCAGATAACCTATCAGGATGAAAGACCAAGTATAAAATATAATGAATTACACAAGTCAGGGCTCTGTTTGGTTGATTCCTCTGTGCAGAAGCACTTCTCAGTCTCCACTTGTTTTTAGCTATTGGCATGGCAGCAACACTTCCACTGCCTCCAGACTGTACAGTGCAGTTTATTACAGAGCTAAATCAAACTTGCCTTCCTTTAGTTTAATGTTTCACAGAGTGCTGTCTCTTTAAGTGTGTACTTGAGTTTGCTAGGTGATGAGGTGCTGTAAGTGGGGGATGCCCAAAAGTCCAGTCTACATTGTCAGACATCTGTCATTAGGGATGGAAGTATTTTGTGATTTTAATAGTGCTGTTAAGAAAATACAAAATTGTTTTCCTAGATGCTGTGGTTTTTACCATTTGGATAAACTAACAGATTATGGTACTCAGTATTGATAATGGCAAATGTCATCCACTCCTTAGTTATTCTTTCAGACATGAGGGTTGGTTCGTAATGTAAAGCCCATTTAAACCTTTTAATTTGGAGAAAAGTTGAAAAATATTTTAAAAAAGATCATGTGCATTTTTTGTTGTATTTTGTTTTAAACTCCCAAAAAGGCAGCAGAAATAACTCTAGGCCCTTCAGTCATCAGTGACTGTTAATGAAACTTAATTTGCGGTTCGTGGTAATGAATGCACAAGATTAAATTCATGCCCATGAATGTGTAAATGCCCATCGGTAGATCTGAAGTGAAAATCACAAGATATCTTGCTATGACCGCTGCTTACAGTTAAGCATCTGAAGAAGCTTACCCGAATTTGTAAAGTTCTACAGCATTCAGAGAATGGGAAGCTGATTCTTTTTTCTTTCCTAGTTCAGTTTAATAAGGAACAGGCTAGAGATTGAGAGGTTATCTCATCGGAGCCCAGGCAGAGGCAGCTCTTTGACAACCCCATCTCTTCTCCCAGTGTCCAGTGTGCCGTCAAGGCCGTCACTGGTGTGCTGCTGGTGTGCAGGTATGATTCAAAGATGTGGGAGTGCCCCAGTCCAGCAGACATTAGAGATTGTCAGCTTAGTGATTACCAAAGACTTGGAACAAATTAACCGGTCAAACAGCTTATTTAGCAAATGAAGACATTTAGAGGTCATTTGGTCAAATTACCTTTAGTCCTGAATGACCAGAGGTGTCTTAATTGAACAGATTCTGCTTTACTTAGTGTAAGCTACAAGTGGGTTGTGACTCTCCAGGACTTGATTGGAGAGTCCTGTTTTACAGTGTGAATTTGCCCCCTTTGTTTTCACAGAATACAAGTAGATTTTGCAGTGTAGTTTTCCTTTGTCAGAGCAGGACTCTCAGATTTGTGGTGGCCTAGTTGTTAGCCTAAGTTTCCTGCCAGTCTGGGTGTGAATAGACAGACATACTAGGGTGAAAATATACACTCAATTTTATAGCTGATAAATTGCATTTTTTGTTGGTGAATGTAGTAAATACATTATTCATCATGGTTGTCTTGTGGCTAGTCTTAACTGTAGTGTGGAGAGTTATTAAAATGAGCATATATTTAAGCAAAATTGAATGAAGTAAAAGCTTGCGTTTGCTATATTTGCTATAATCCTTGACGATTTATTGGTTTGCTTTGTAATGCAGATAATGTTAAGACATGATTTGGAAATCCCATTCAAATGCTTTGACCTCTTCATGTAGTGTCTATTGTCCTTTTATACATTTAATTCAAATTTTTGTTAGAGGTTGTACAGCTTGAGCAACTGGTTGTTGGGCTTGAAGAGTCAGGCATTAACTTTCAACTATTTGACCTTTATGTTGTCAGTGCTGGACCATCTGATACAGCTGGTATTTTGGGGGCTATGTTGAGTGACACAGATCCCCTCCTGTCCTCCTCTAGTGTGAGTTCCAGGCCAAGGCAACAGCAAGGACTTAGGTAAAACCCCAAAGTGAAAGGACCATGCTGGTCAGTGCTATACAAGCAGTTTTCGCATTTGTCCCTTACATTAAGGGTGGCACTTCATTGTCTCAAATTTGGGGAGTGTACACAATAGAGGCATTTCACTGTGGTTGTGTCTGATCTTGAACAGCAGTCCATAGGTTTAGGAAATATTTACTACTAATTTCTAAGCTGGAAGTCAGTCAGAAGCTCATTATAAGTTGTATTTCTATCTTTTGGCAAAGTTATTAAAAGTCAGTTCTGAAAATGACTGTTAGAACAACTTGTGGCAGAATAAGTTTAAAATTTATGTAATCAGTCTTTCTGTATTATTCTGGGACATCAAATCTTGTAGCATTTCTTCCTTTCAGGGGTGTTTTTTCATTAATTCCTTATCACAGGCTGAAGTTTTGCTGCTTTTCAGGAAATATGCATGCTCAGGTTGTGGGTGACATGCTTTTTTTCCCATCAGATAGATGCCACATTGCATCATAGTTTATAACTCTTTTATCAGCAGTTAGAATGTCCAGAAGCATAAATGTAAGGTGTGGTTAAAACAAAATAAAAAGTAGCATCGAATTAAAGGTGCTTCAAGTATAAAAAATCTTTATTCCTCGTGATGGTCACTGACACACTGCTGTCTGCCTGGCTCATGTACAATGGAAACTGGTACATAAGATGAGACCTTGAACATTTTGTGAAAGCTGAGTGGGCACACGGATGTTTGTGGCTTGTTTGTATTCCTCGCTGAGTTTGTTTAGTGCGTGCAGGTTTTGTTAAAGCAAGTCACTTGTTTAGTGTCATTGCCATAATGTCTAAAAGTTATGCAATATTTTAGTGGGAAATATTTGACTGATTATTTGTCTCTATTGCAGATTTTCTGTTTGAAAATAGTAGCTTATCAGCTATGGAGGACAATGAGAGGTCTGAGCCGTCTCTAAATCCTGAGTCTGAACAGAGCCAGGATCCTTTGGATGTCAGCTCTCAAGGTACGTTCATTACTTTTTGCAAGTTTTTGAAAGTAACTTTCGGCAAGTAATCTACACAGCATTGTTCTTGATCCCACTTGACTGTCATTCTGCTTGTTTTTTTTAATACAACTTCTATCGTTGACTTTTTTGGAAAATAGTGCACTAGTGGTTAATGTATAAAGAAAAAAGCACATACTAATGCTCAGAAAAGAGCCAGGAAGTTGACACCAAGCTTTATTTCATATTCGCACTTGCTTCTTTGAAGAAAACACTGCCTGCAGGTGTCAGGAATTTTAATTTTCCCGTGTGGTCTTTGTTGCTTTATAAAGGTCTTTGAGTTCTAGTTACGGTCAGTTGAAAATGGAGAAGGCAAGGTAAAGATTTTGTATTCAGCTTTGCTGTACGCATTTTATCTTGTTTTTTACAGCTTCGACAGTGGAAGAAAAAGAGGAGCAGAACGATGACAGCTCGGAGAAGTTAGAGGAGGCGGGCAAGTCTGTCAAGCCTACAAGCAAAGAGTTCAGAAAAACCTGGGGTTTCCGAAGGACCACAATTGCCAAGAGAGAGATGCCGGGAGATGGAGACAGCCAGGACTCTGGGAATGCACCGCTGCGCCGAAGCGGGCGTCAGTCCAAGAGGACTGACAAGATGGAGGAGTTCCTGTCGACGGCCAAGCGTGGGCGTGGGAGGAGGAGCGCGCCGGTCAGCCTGGAGAACTCTGACCCACCCTCTCAGCCCCCCACTGACACGGAAACGGCATCGGAGGCCAGCTTCGATGGGACCGCCGAGGCCAAGGCAAGCGGCGACAGCGCGGACGCGAAAGGGTCTCCGGACAGAGACCAGAGCAGCCAGAAAAACCGGAAAGGCGGCTCCGGCACGGAGGACAGCAGCTCTGACGATGACGACGACAACGAACTCACGCTAAAGGAGCTGCAGAACCAGCTGAGGAAGAAGCGCACAGAAGGAGAGGCAGGGATGGAGACGGAGCCGGTGAAGACAGATGACATCGGTGAGACACCTACACCTGAGCCAAGCAGCAAAGAGCCCTCCAGCAGCCCTGGGAATGGAGCAGGAAGGGATGCTACCTCGCCAGTCAACAAGACCAAATCAGGGGTGAAAAACGCAGGGGACAAGGGACCGTCTTCCAGTAAATCGGAAAACGAGGGCTATGACCCCAATGCCCTTTATTGCATCTGCCGGCAGAAGCACAACAACAGGTACATACTGCTTTACATTTTGTTCTATAACTCGAAATAGGGATAGCTACAATAATCTTTAAAACTGGCAAATTCCTGAGTCAGCTGGTTATTCAATTTGTTTCTTCTAAAGAGGGGTAGATTGATGGGGTCATATATCCCTCCCTCTTCCGTTATTGAGCCTTCTGAGTTTTTTTACTGTTAAGATTGGATCAGCATGCTGCTCTGAGGCATGCAGTGAAGGTGCCACATAGAGTGCAAGCACGATTGAAGACAGGGTAAGGAGTAAAGAGAGGGATTGCAGAGGTTAAACTCCAGGATGATTAAAATGTGTTCAGTGTAGTCTGTAATGCTGCAGCTGTTGAAATATAAAAATAAATCTTTTTTTTCCATTTTTGCAACTTTGACATTCTACCTTAAGCTTTTAAACACTGTAAACTGAAGAAACTTACGTGATTAACTGTTCCCCTGTGATGGGGAAGATAACTCGCCCTTAAGTAGTCTCCTTCTCTGTTTTAAACATAATTGCTATTGATTAAATGAAAGGGGGATGGCATGTAGTTTTAGCTGTCCTGGAATTTAAAGGCTTCTGTTGTACAATCAGGTTTATGATCTGCTGTGATCGCTGTGAGGAGTGGTTTCATGGCAACTGCGTGGGTATCACGGAGGCACGCGGCCGTCTTCTGGAGAGGAACGGGGAGGACTACATCTGCCCGAACTGCACGGTGAAGCAGGGCCAGTCCTCGGACAGCTCCAAGGAGGGGAAGCAGGTCGTTCCAAAGCCTGATCAGACGAGCTCCACAGAACAAACTGCCACTCCTGAGGGAACTGAGAAGCCCACAGAAGATCAGGGGATCAAAGGGAGAATAGAGAAAGCTACCAATCCCAGTGGGAAAAAGAAAATCAAAATATTCCAGCCAGTACGTATTTGGCTTTTTTATCTTTAAAGTTCTCTTTAATATTTTTTCGTCTGTCGTCTTGTACTGATAGTCACAGAACAGCTTTTACCTTATTTTGAAAGATCCTTAGCCGTGTTTTAAAGATACCTTTTAGAACATTAGAGAAGTCTTTGGATGTAATTTTATCTTTTATCTGAAACATCTTTTAAATTGGAACTATTGAAGTGTTTTCTTGGTAGGCAATTTCAGTTTAAAAAAATTGAATTTTATTTTGTTAAATTATTTCATGTTAAATACTTATGAATCTCAATTGATTTTCATAAATGTGAAAATGCTTGTTTTTTGCATTTTCAAACCTGTAAATGTGCTTTTTCACACTAATGTAGTGTAGATATTTTACTGCATATGTCTAAAAGATTTCAAGATGTATACACTGCCTGAAGCTGCCTTGTTCAGAGAAATTCCATCTTTGCTTCTAAATGCATTTAAATAGAGTGAAGGTGCTTCAGTATCTCTTTAATTTATCTAATGATAAAGAATGGAAAACAGAATGAAGTTATATTTCTGTGAATAAAAAGAAGGGGTTTAGGCAGCACAAGGCAGTCTTGCATTGGCGCAGGTGCCATCTGTGGTGGTCTTAACTAGTCTGAGTTTATTTACAGGCTGTTGATGCTAGCACACTTCCCACGTGCATCGGCCCAGGCTGCACCAACCAGGCCTTGCCAGACTCGGTCTACTGTGGTAACGATTGCATTCTCAGACACGCTGCAGCTGCAATGAAAACTCTCACTGATGTGAAGGAACCCAAACCGAAAGAAAAACCTAAATTAAAAGCTCAGAAAAAAACACCTTCAAAAACGCCAGCCAAGGTAACTTTTTCGGTGCTTTGGTTCCTTTCATATGTTGGAAGAAAGTGTCGACCTTTTCATGTCTTTTTCAGGGTTCAAAAAAAGATAAATGACCAAAACACAAACACTGCCACCAGGTGTTGGCTTAAAGGGCAAATGAATGGTTGCTGTTGATAGAACTCAATTCTGAATGCCTGCTGTCCAGTTTTGGATGCAGTATTGCATTTCTGCTTATCACATTTTAAAATAAATGTTATAGACTGTTAATTGCTGAAAGCATTTTAACAAATATGAAAGGACTAATTGTCAGATTTAGAACATTTTCTCCTGGAAGTGGAGCTCATTAACTTGCCTCATATTGAATTCTATTCTAGCAGTCCCTCTTCAGTTTAAGGTTAGCTATTTTCATCAGTTTTTTTATATACCTCTATGCTGCTCATACATTTAAAAGAAATGCAGTCTTACATTTGCTCCGATTGCAGCAGTGTTTTGAATTGTGAACTGCAACAGGTGAGTAGCATCTTTAGTATTGTCGTGACACAAAGTCTTAAGTCTGCTCTGTCTGAAGATATTGCTTCAGAAAGATACATTGCTCTGTCAGACTGCAGTTAATTAATGTTTCCTTCTTATACAGCCTTTCTTTCAGTTGCTATTTCGTACTGCTGTTTAGAGTATTCTGTGTTAGTGTATTCTAATTTTTCCTTGATTTGTTCTGATCACATGGTACTAACATTTCTATATCCCCCTCTTTGCGTAGTTTAGAGCACTTTGTAAATTGCCTTTGCCATCATGTAAATTATTTAACATAAAAACCCAATATGATCTTGAAGATCTGTAAGGCAATTTTAAACCCTAACCAAAATCATTACCATGTGAGTAGATGAGATGTCTTTGATTGGACTGGTAATTACATGTTGGATTTATTTGCATAATAAGAATTTCTAGCTAATATTTTCACAGTTCCTTAAAGGTATCAAATTGCATTTCAGGATCTATTTGTTCATTAATTGGGCTGTTTTCTTTCTCAGGCTCAGAAGAGACCTGTTCCAGAGCAAAAGACCGAGAAGAAGACTTCGGAGGTGGCCGCTAAAACAGAGGAGGGTTCCTCCAACAGTGAGGGAGAACAAGCAGAACAAGAGCCTGTTGTACCATCCTGGTCCAGCGATCATAATTACAATGCAGTAAAGCCAGAAAAGACTGCAGCCATTTCGTCAACTGTGTTTTACAAAGCGTGTATGTATCTCCAAGAGGTTTTCAGCACTAACATCTTATTTCTTACATCCAGTCTTTTAGTTTTTAAAGTTTCAGAAGAGGAAGTACCACAGACTATTTTAACAGTCTCGTTTAGTATAATGTTTTAAAAACATAACATGACCATTGTAGTGAAAAGATTTTACACAGAGGGACAGTTCAAGAATTGCCTCTCTCGACAGGTAAGCTACAAGAGATCTAAGTCCACCAAATTTTTTAATTTAACAATAATTGAAATATATTGTCTCATTATATAAAATGTTGCAACCATTTCCAGCTACTGGTAAGTATAGAATAGTTTGATTACCTGTGAAGTGTTAAAGGGGTAAGTATTGTGGTTGCTCAGGATCTAAATCTAATCTTGCTTTCTTTGCATACAGTGTTTCGGGACATTAAATAAAGGTGTCAGCTTTATAACGCAGTTGAACTATTTTGGATAAATTCAGTATTTGCATATAATGAGCTTCAATCACATCCAAAGCCCCAAGTGTGCAAGTCTAGAGCCTCGTCCTAGATCTATGTAATATACTGGACATTTTTGGTTTATTTGTTGATGACAGTCGCAGCAAGTGTGTTAATGCGTCCTAATCCTACCTAAAAAGTTATCTTTTTCATAGCCTGCTTTCTCTTTTGATCTAAAGATCAGAACTTCATGTTGCAACTAAAAGTTGCTTATGTATGGGAAGATTTAATTATCTAAATCTGAGTAAATGAGCTGGGGCATCTAAATATGTAATAACTTAATGCTTCTTGTTCAACAACTTTAAGATGTACATTAAGAAAAACAATTGGCATTTGTTACAGGAGTGATACTAGATGTGCTCCTCTTATTGTCAGCACATGTCATTTAAAATCAAACCACCTGGTGCATTGGCAGGAAAGTCTGCAGAGTGCTTTTCTAAGAGGAGTCTTGAAATGCAGCACCTTTTAGTTGTCCCGGGTTTAAACAGAGTTCCATCACATCTTAAAGTCAATACATTTTTGCTATCCATTATGACACTTTATTTCCTGCACTGTTGAAACTTCTGAAGACTTCGCCTTTTCGTACAGCAGGTAGGTGTCCGTTTTAATCCGAGTTTTTCACAAAGAGTATTACACCGTTTTAATGCTGACCTAATAATTTAGGTACCACACTATTTTAGGGAATATTTTCTCTTGGCCAACAGCTATGAACCAGTATGAACGTTTCTTTAATTATAGCACTTTCATCTTTAACGTTTGCATGCTTTGGTGTATTTATAATTTAAACAGCCTATAAAATAAAAACAGATATCACAGATACCCATTTTAATGACTTCCTTAATTGCTTAAGTCACCAAGACTCCATTCTCTAAGGGATGCTTCCTGTCAACGAGGTGATACTGAAAGACGAACCCCAGCAAAGCCCTGCAGCACACTGTTCCACTTCAGGACATTGAGGGTAAAAGTCACATAAAATGTGGCTGGGAATTGATTCCCATCAGGTTAAAGATCTTTCATAAAGGGATGGATAAAACACAGGATTTCAGCTTGTCGGCAGCAGCAGGACCACTCTGGCGGAAGATTTGACCTCGTGCCCTCTGCGGAGGAATCCTGCTGGAGCATAAAGAAGCAATGAAGAGTACCTCAGAGGCCTGAAGAGATCCAAAGTCGACAGGATACGCTTGGAAAGCAGTTAGGCAGGCAGGCCTTTATACCCAATATACAATTTGTTTTGTACTTCATTTCATAAAATGAAACTATAAATGAAATACATATTCATACATTTGTACATCATAAGGTTGACTGAAATCACAGGCTGAAGATTATGATTATCTGGGCAATTGAGAGGATAGACTAGTGCCATTAACCTAGTGTCGCCTATACAGCTTGGGAAATGCCTAGAGCTAAGTAGATTTTAACCCATTTCTTAAGTTTAGCGTGAAATATGTATGGGGGTAGTAATACAACCTTATTGCTCTAACTTGGATGATTCCAAGATTAGGGGAACAGCCACTGCATATTGAATTACAAGACTGATAAAGTGCATATTCCGAAAGCACAAAACCATTGTTAAAACCTCCCATTAAGATGAGCTCTTGATTTTGTTCCATATTGAAAGCTGAAATTCTGAGTGAATAGGTTTTCACAGGTGTCTACACCTGTTATAATGGAATCAGCATTACTATAATGTATAAATGTCTTGCGTAAACCTAAAATCCTCTTGGAGACAATATGATTGCAGCTCTTAAATATTACAAAGTGTTAAAATAGTAAAGCGTAGGATTTATTAACTTTACAAAGTTTACTTCATCCCCAAATTTAGCCACAATTAACTGGCTAGTAGAGTTAAATATCGGTGGAGGTATTTTGTTTGATTTTTGGTAAAAAAAAACAATCTGTTTTAGTACATACATTTGGTGCTAAAATGAAAACTCGCATGGATTCAGAGACCATACCATCAGTGAAGATTTGAAAACAAAAAGCACATGGTGCCTCTAGTGGTGGAAGAAAACATCACATGTGCAGTGTATTTTGGAAAGCAGGCACCAGAAGATTGTCATGTTACATTTCGAGGTTGTTTTCAAGACTTATGAAACCTATCATGTCAGTAAGTGTCCGGACCACCACAACATTCATTCCAAGACATATTTAGAAATAAGTCTCTTGACAGATTGTGTTCCGTCTCTCTTCCCAAATGGAACACTAAGGGCTAAACTGCCAGTGGTATTTAACTAATGCCTTTATAGTTGCCAGCAAGGTATAAACTAGCAGAGTTTTTAAAATGCCATCTTAAGTCAGCTAAGTTTGTTATTCAAATAGGTTTAATTAGTATTAAATTTTTGAGAAAAAGTTACCTAGTTTTAGTTTATATTAAAGTACTTAAACCCTGTTCCCAAAGCTTTTAGAAAGCAAAAGGTTGTTGTACAGAGAAATGAAACCATGTCTCAAAACCATACTTAAATCTTTAAAGACTTGCCTAAGAGCTAAATGAATTTACAAGCTTTGTATGGTTATTAAAGATCACACATTTAGGTAAATGCATAAGCTTATAACTACTGAGCTAAGGAATAAATGCGTTTTAGAGCAGGTTAATTTTGCCTGTAGGATAGCTTTTAAAACAAAGCGTTTACTATAAGAGGTAGTATATTTGCAAACCATTGAAGTATCTTGATGTTCCTTAGATTCTGTAGTATGTTTTTTTTTGAGGGAAGTGCAAAATCACTAACCAGCAGCTGTATATAACTTCCTGCATTAGGTGCGTCAGTGGGTAACAAACAGCAGAAGTAACAATATAATGCAATATTGGGAAGATGATTTTATGTACTTTTCAAGAAAAGTACTCTTTAAAAGAGTACTGGGACTAGGCTGCTGGGTTTCTTTACTCAGGGTTAATTGTATAGTTTCCTACATTTTAATTGTTGCCAGAGATAATCATTAAACATAGTGTGGGTAGAATGTGCCATCACTAACTGCTTTGCCCGTCTCTTACTGGGATGCAAGTAAAGATGTCACTAATGGGTGAACTTGAGTTGGCAAGTGCAATCAAATTCACGTTATATCTTCCATTCTTTAGTAGTTTAGCCAATAGCCAAGAAGTGAGTTCATGGTTACGTAGCTCCTTATTTGGATGAATAAAAAAAGACTTAACAGGTTCTAAAGCCCTATGGACTTTCTGATAATACAACATTGTCAGACATCCTGTATCTCTTATGTATGAGAATACGGGTTGTGTTTAATGTAGTATGTAGAGGTTCTAGTGCATGTACCGAGGAGATGAATGGATGTGGTTATGTTGTCCTTTGTATGCAAGAGAAACCATTCATACACTTCCAACCTACACTTTGTATATTACCTTTGCACATCAGAATTAAGGGTTTTATTTCAGTCATATGGATTGAAATTGTAGGAAACTGGTATCCCCAGTATTGCCATTGGAGTGTACTGCCCAGTGCCTTCTGATTTTGTTGCTAAGGTGTCTGAACCGATCCCACACTGCAGTTCCTGCAGTCTTATTTGGCGATACTTTGGGGTCTAACATCAAGTTGCCTCTTTGCCCCTCCACCGTGGATTAAATAAAAGTTCGGCAGTGCATGGCTCTTTGATTCGCATGTGTGCGTATCCAGCTGTGCTGTGCGGCTGCTGCCTGCTTTCAGCTTGCCATTCCCACATGTCACGACAGTGACTCATCATCTCTTGCTTTTCTTCTGTCACCCTTGACTCCTGGCAGCCCTCTTTAACCGTCACTTGGTGGTTAGTCTTAAAATTCTTAAATTGTCATTGGGTTGTAAGTCTTCATAGGTTGAGATTATTTTAATTTCAGTATGAAACTGCTGTAGGATTCCTGTTCTTATTTGCACTCCGGTGAAGAAGTGTAAAATCTGAATACTTTCTACTGGATTAACAACAGGTCGTCTTGTCTAGGACTCATAAATTAAGAAATTCAATGTTTTCTTACAAAGCATATACTTGCTTTTGAGCTAAGGATGCAAACAGAGTAGTTACACCTATGCAGGATCTGTTTGTGGTTCAAAGGCCTTTAAATACTGAAATTTTTGTCTACACAGGGGTATGCCCCATACAAGGTAGTCATCTTATTAGTGGTTAATATTGCTTGTTTTGTTTAATGAATGTTTTCACATTTTATAGTCAACTGGTTGAGTTTTGAAAGTTTCTTAAGACTGAGCACAGTTCACAGCACTTGGGCTGAGTGTTTGTTCATGTGTTATGTGGTTGAATCATACATTTCTAGAAGTCATCTCATTCTTCTGAACAATTAAGGTCTTGCGGCTCTATATTGTGGCTTGTATTAGAACTTGAATAGTTACACAAATACTAATAAAATAAGTCTTCATTGTAAATATGCATTCTGTTAGGTGGCATCAGTGCGTTTAGTAGGTCAATAGGCATAAGTATACGTGTTAATTCCCATTATTTTTCATTTATAATCTACTAGTTTGCACTAATGGTAGTTTAGTTGAAGGCTCATTAAATTGGAGTACCAGCACTTGAATTTTGGTATTTAGGCAGAACTGCTGTCAGGAAAGGAAATTGGGAGTCAATGAAACGGGCAAGGTTTTTGACTAATGTTATCCAGTACACTTTCCTGCTGCTCACTGGCCACATAATGCAGACAGAGCCACATTAAGCTCTGGGTTCCACAAGAAGAGTTCCTCTGGGTCAACAGCAATGCTTCCAGTCAGCACAGGAGCACCTCTTTATTCCTGGACGTTCCCCTATTCTTCTAGGTATTGGGCAGGAGCAGCATTGCTTAGCTTCTTCATTCAGCTTTGAGATCTCCAAGATGGTATGGCTGCACTGCTGTGCATCGCTATTTGTTCAGTTCCTGTCGTCTGCTGCGATACCTCAAGAGTCCTAAAGAACTTAACGAAAATCAAATGCTTTCAAACAAGACCCTGCATTTGTGTTTAAGATTACTACTTTTTTAATCTACATTTACAACAGTACACATCACACAGGTATGTGAAATGTCATGTGTTAGTGGTGAGGGTAAGTTACTTTTCACTATCTTAGATGGTATTTTAAATATGATTTATTTATTGGATTCAAGATCACATCTGGTTTTCATATTTTTGTCACCTTGAAGCTACACCTTGGAAGCTCTAAATGATGCGTTGTTTTCCACTGGAGATAGACTGATGGCACCTTATATGTGGAGTTCATATGTTCTTATTTGCCTGGGAGGATTTTCCCTGGGTGTTCTTCCTCTAGCAATCCAGAGACGTAGTCTAGGTTAATTGGCATTCCCAAATAGCACCTCTGATGTGAGGATGAATGCCTGTGTGTGCCCTGCGATGGACAGATGATATGGTCCTGCCTTGCTCCAGCTCATCAATACACTCATAAGGATAATGCAGTGGCTGAAGATGGATGAAAGTATATTCTTGGGTTTCGTGGCCTATTCTAATACATTCGAGTTGTGTAGCCTATGGTCTCAAGCTTGACAAGGAAGCAATTCCAGTTTTTCTGATCATACAGAAGTGAGTAATGTGTTGTTCAATGATCATTGTGCCATTTCAGGGTTTTTAATGTAGTACTGAATGTTGAGATTAGATGAACTGTGGTTTATTTCCTCGGTGAATGGGGAAATACAGTTTTAACTCGAGCTCCAATGATATCAAAAATAAATTAAGGTTTTAATTTGTGCCTTAATGTGAAAGCAGCCTAAATGTCAAATTAATAGTGTAATGGGATCCACATCAAAGTTGTTTTAAACACCAAGTCCACCCCCTTGGTCTTCCTTTAATATGATCTCCCATGCATCAATGTGTGAAATGAAAACTTCAGCTCACGATGAGCAAGGATTTATGCACCCACCTGACTGCACAAAACCGCCAGCTGATTTCTCAAAAACAAAGGGAGAGATAGTCGGCCTCGAGCCAGCGGCCTCGACCCATTTCTCGTGGATTTCATTTCCACTGGCTGAAGACGCCCTCGTTTGGTCTGAACAGATGGAAGGATCTGGCAGAAAGGAGTCTTTTCCAAAGTCTTAAAGAAATGAAGTGAACGGGGCGGTCTCACAGGGTTCACATTTTTAGGATTGGGGAGTTTAGGATTTTCCTGCATGGAATGTACTCTGGAATTAAACCTTGAATTAAAGGAATAAAAAATGAACCAGTCTGTTTCATTATTATAGAGATAATCTATCACACTATTTAGTAATACAGAAAGTCTGTACTAATGTATACCTTGTTTTCTTTGTGTAATGGATGCTGCTCATGGACACAATTGAGTTATTTAAAATACAAGTGCTTTTCTAAAGGGAAGACTTATAATGTAAAATCAATTTCACTATTTTGCAGAAATGTTTTGAAATTAATTTGACAATTTTACTTTTTCTACAGACTTAAGGTGATACATGGTTGCTATACCTTGCTATAAAATGCATAATTTCAGATCCTCCTGATTGCTTACAGTTATAATATTGTAATTTCTTGTCTTTGTCCGTTGTTCAGGAAATGTCAGACTTCAGTCAAGTTTTGTTCACCTTGTAAAGGTTAAGTTATATAAAGCCGCTATCTTTCAGACTACAAAAAGGAAGATTCATTTAATCTCTACCCACAATCCATTAGAACATTGTTTAACATCAGGATTTTGGGTCTTCAAGTTCACTTTTGAATCTTATCGATTTAACTTTTGGAGAATTTGCCATTTGTGGAATGTGTGTGTGTGACCAGAATTGCTCATCATGTGCTGGGTGCAGCTGTAAGAACAACCTGCTATCATGCAGCTCTGTGCCCAGTTGGGGCTTACGGTTATGTTTATTTTATTCTTAACGCAGCTGCAAAAGAGAATGAGGATGATGAGAGCAAAAAGGAGTCCAGCGCCCCACGAAAACGATCTTCAAGTCCTCCTGCACCATCCAAAGGGAGCAAGAAGGCTCCCGCCTCTGGCGGAGTATCGGCCAAAGCAAAGAAGCCCCCTCCTTCCCCTGGGAGCGCCAGTGGGTCCTTGAAGAAACTCCCTAAGCCTTCCAAGAGCAACACAGCCTCCAAGAAGCCCAGCTCTGCTCCAGCTGCCCCGGCCCCTGGACAGATGGCTTCTGCCGGCCCAGCCCCTGGGCAACCGGTGTCAAGGCATCATGTCACGGGGGCCCTGAGAGTTGCCAAGACCACCTTTACTATCCCGAAAAAACAGCCCAATAAGGAGCAGCAGCAGCAGCAGAACCACCCTCCAATTCCACCTGCCTCGAATCCAGCTGCAGCAGCTAAGGCCCCTGCTGGGTACTCTGCACCCCCAGGGCCTCAGGTCCCCTCCAGACCTCCTCCTCCTCCTCCCAGCGCCCCACAGCCTCAACCGAATAACCAGATCAGGCAGAACATCCGTCGCTCTCTCACCGAGATCCTCTACAAGAGGTGAGGCATCTGGCACTAAATACCTTATGGTAGACTTCCTCCATTTATAAGAGGTGACAAAACTGAATCTCAGCTTTTCTTTCTTAATTAATTTCTATCCACACATCTCAAAGTCATTGCCTGGTTATGTTCTTGTGTGAGTTATTAATTGGGTTTTGCTTTTTTTTTTAAAACCTCCTTAATGGCTGGTGTCGGGTGAAGTTTTTAAAGTACCCCGGTTTGCAGAGAGACAGGCCTCATCCTTGAACCTTTTAACATTTTCAGGGTGAGCGATAGCGATGACCTGGAGAAATCCGAGAGCGAAGTGGGCAAAATCGCTTTCAGCATCGAGAAGGAAATGTTCAGTCTGTTCCTGAACACAGACAACAAATACAAGAATAAATACAGAACGATCATGTTTAACTTGAAGGATCCTAAAAACAAGGTTAGTGCTCGAACAAGCGTGAACTTACGTTAGCCATCTCGCAGCTAACTGTGAATGTTGTTGTGAATAATGCTTCACTATGTGCAATGCAAATTAATTTAGTGATCTAGTTTTTTTGGATTTATGCATTTTTCTTAAATTCCAAGAAGTATCCTCTCTATAATATTTAGCTTTTTAATGATCATTTTTATTGTTTTAAGCATTCTCATCTTGTTTTGCTTGTGCTGCTTTTTTTCAGGGACTGTTTTATCGCGTTATTGGAGGTGAGCTCAGTCCCTTTAAACTGGTGAGGCTGAGCCCTGAGGAACTCCAGTCCAGAGAAATCTCGGAGTGGAAAGAGAAGGACCCGAGTGGGGTGAGTTCCTCACTCACTCAGCACCCTGTAACATTGCCGTTTTCAGCCTGGGTCAATCTCCACACAGCCTGCAAGCAGGCTTGAAAAGTTACTACTGCCCTGGGTGGGAAAACCACCTGTGCACAGAAACGTGTGTATTGAAGTAACCTTAAAAAATGGTGCGAATGGTTCAAAGACCATTCCTTGCAAATGCACAAAATACATGCGTTAGACACAGTGAGAATGATCAACCACCGTGTTGGTCTCATAGTGTGCTGGCACACTCATCTATTCCTTCCACTGCTGTTTTACATAGTGTAAAAACACTTTGTCTGATCCCAGAACAAATACCTCCACGTTTTGTGAATTAAATATAATCATGGTATATCTACTGGAGACTTACACCTTGGGGGGTCTCAGCCCAGGATTGGATCAAGGGTCTTTAGTAGTTTGGCCCTGGAATCAACTGGACAAAAGGGTTAAAAACAATGATAACAGTGGACAGTCAGCAGTCCTGTGTTTTTGTACAAAATTAGATCTTTTTAAGCAGGCTGGAAAAAAAGGAGGGGAAACCAACTTAGATATCTGTCTCGGACATTGTGTGACCAGTTGACGGGAGGTTGTATCCTTTAAGGGTGCAGATGTGAATGCTGCGAGGACCGCGGTCCACAATGTACTGTTTCTGTCTGCAGGTCCTCGAGCCCAGCCAGAAGTCTCAGCGTGAGGCACAGAAGTTTGGCCTGAAACAGGAGAATGTGCCTGATGTGGACATGGAGGAGTCTCCTCCCATGTCTGACGGAGACGTATGTATTAATCCTACCTCCCAGTCGCCCCGCATGGCTTCCGCAGCAGTAAGTGGCTTCCTTGCTTGGGTTTCAGCGCATATCTACTCCCACTTTATCCATAGCTTCTTCACAATGTTTTACTGGCACACCTTACTTGCAGCCTTCCTCTCGCGAGCCTGACACACCTTTCCACCTGGTCACACTCTGCTGGGCTTGTTTGTAAACTCTCTTGTGTGCTTAAGCTGTTTTATGTTTTTTTTATTTTCATATATTTTGCTTTTTATCCAAGCAGTTTGAGGTATGGCAACTGCTTTTTGTAATCGGCTAATGAGTCTCAGTTATACATTATTTGTTATGAAATAATCATTTTGAATCCTTTATCTAACCTGGTACGTCAGTTGACAGTGACAACGTGAAAAGTACACTGCAGGGCATTTTTGTTGGGGAATTTGAAGAAAATTTGCTTTCAATGCTTGGGTGATGTCTGATTGTTGTAGCATTTACTATCAGTATATTGTTCCGTCAAAAAATCAATACAGTGATGTGTCTGTACTGTGTAAAAAGCACAAACTTTAATACAGCACTACCATATTATACTGCAGCTCTTTACACTGTGCAATCAGGTATAATATGGTATAATCACGTCTTTCATTCTCATATGCATTTTTTCTCAGGATGGCCTCAATAAATAGTAAAACTCAGGGAAGATGACACAAACAAAAACATCTTCTACTGTTAAAATAAACTAAGTTTCATGTCGAGTCAGACATGATGAAGCCTGTGTACTTATAACATATTTTATTTGAGATAGCAAAAACAAATTGTCGTTATTAAAAAGTAGGAACAAAGTAGGAAACATTAAATTTATTTAAAAGCATCTCTGTTATTTATAACATAATTGTGTTGTAAAAACACAATTTTAAATTATTGACTTATGTAGGCTAAGCTTTATTCTGGTGGAATGGTGGTTGTCTCTGTTGTATTGAGTCTATTAATATGGGATGTCGGTTCAGGAACAAAAATGCCAAAACTTGTGAAGAGAAGCATAAATAGCACTCCCCCACTGATAGATGCCCAGCTTCTTCAGTTAAAGAGGAACCAGCACTATACCATCTAGAACTATATCAAACTGTAATACTAGTAGATGAGTGAAGTAATTACACTGAGTAAATTACACTAGCATGTGTACAACAACTCAATAGATTTAATCTTAATTACTCCACTGTTTTTTCGAGTGAAATTGGGACACTAGCACAGTGTTCTCTTGGCTTAAAAAAACCTTCAAGCAGTAAATATCAATGTATGGTCTTCACTAACAGCCGTCATTAAATGATACAATGTATTGATTGGTCCATACCGACATGCTTCCTTCTGCCAATTCCTTTTGTGTTTTTTTTTCTTGCTTTTGAAATGATAGAAGTCTAGCAGTAGTGCTGAGCTCTAACAAGAAAATCAAACACCTGGACGATATTCAGTAATAGTGAGTTAAGTGTTTTGTTTTCCAGAATTGGTTTCTAATCTGTGGGGTCTTGTTTTTAAGGAACAGGAGGAGCCTCGTCCTGCCCCAGTGAAGAGCAGCCTCCCAGTCCCCGACATCTTCAGCAGCATGTTGAAAGACACAACCAGCGAGCACCGCGCCCACCTCTTCGACCTCAACTGCAAGATCTGCACAGGTATCCCCAGCAGTGCCTGATGCTCGTCTGTCGGATTTCCCTGTCTGTCTAGTCTGTTCGGGTCTCCGGTGGGCTCATTTATTTCTCTGATGGCTTTCCAGGCCAGATGTCTGCAGAAGAGGAGCCTGCCCCCAAGAAGCCCAAAACGGCTCCCTCTGCCGCTGTGAAAAAGGCAGAAGTTAAAGTCAAGCCAGAGCCCAGGCCCTCAAAGGTGGGCGCAGCGGGAGACGGGCCTGCGCCAGCCGCTGCGAGCGCCGCGCCCTCGGAGGCGGCCCCCGGCGGCGAAACTCCCATCGTGGAGTCCCCGGCTTCTCCCGAGGAGACCAGCAACCCCGCGACGTCCTCTCAGAGCTTCGCCCCCATCCCCATCCCGGCCGTGTCCTCCGTGACCATCACGCGGCGGGACCCCCGCACGGCCGGGTACCGTCCCGCCGCCGGCGCGTCCCCGGCGCCCACCGCCGCGCCCGCAGCCCCAGGGAGCACGGAAGCTGGCGCCGCCGCCGCCGCCTCCGTTGCGGGAGAGTCGGCGCCTGAAGCTGCGAAGCCAGCCGTGCCGCTGCCACCCCCGGCACCCAAGTCCATCTTAATGAAGCCTGCGTCTTCCCCAGACACCCGGTACATGGCCACCTCATCGTCCGCTGACAGGTGCTTTGTAACTCTTCTCGCGGCTCGTGAATCGCAACGCGTGAACCCAGGACATCCACACCCATTCTTTGTGTTGGAATAAACGTCCACACTCGGGGTGTGACCGGGAGTGATTGGTGATATTTGAGCTGTGTCGGTGCATGTTATGATCATACAATTGACAAGTTTGTTATCCAGGCTAAGTAATAATTCTTAAGTACGAACGTTAGAGTGACAAAGAGATCGTATTGTGTGCCTGTCGCTGATGAAATTCGTGTGCTTTGCAGCGTTGCGGAGTCGCGCTCTCCTCCGGATGGAGAAACCACTGCGTTCCTCTGCAAGCAGGAGATCCTTTGGAAAGGCTTTATCAACATGCACACGGTGGCGAAATTTGTCACCAAAGCTTATCTTGTTTCCGGATCCTTTGAGCACATCACAGAGGTCAGTCCCCAGATTTCAGTTATGTTGACAAGCAATAACCGCTCAGCTTAGCTTTAGACAATAAGTCACTTGAAGAGGAAACCATGTAATAAATTTTACAGACAGATGATTACGGTTAACCTTAGTACATTTTTGCTTTCGCTGTGGACTATGGATACCTAAAGCAAATGGAGAAGAGCAAATAGAAATTCAAGCATGGACTGAAAAACTGCATGAAATATAATGGGTTTAAATTTTGATCAGTCTCATGCAATACTTATGGATGAAAATTGTTCATTGTAGGTGTATGTCGACAACCTTTCTATAGTGACTACAGACTTTTATTACCATAATATGGACTAAATTAAAGGACTTGAATTCCCTGATATGGAAAGGACTAAAATGTCTTTGTTTCCCTAACATGTTAATCCTATTTATGGCAGTTGTTAATCAGTTTTGAACTTTTGTAGGATTTACCAGATACAATCCACATCGGTGGACGGATATCTCCTCACACTGTGTGGGACTATGTGGGAAAACTGAAAACATCTCTTTCTAAGGTAAAGAAAATTCTGACTCTTCTGTAGTGAATCAGTAGACGTCCAGGGACAGGTACATCAAAACCTGTTATATAATTTTGCAAGTTTTGTAACCATATAAATTCTTTTTAAGCCATAGCTGACACAAAAGTCTTTTGAAGCTACATTATTTTAAAACAAATTTAAACACAAGGAGAAGAATACTCTCCAGAGTTCAATTTACTGAACACAATGCTGAATTCCATATATCGGATAAAGATAGGCCAGATAACAGTATACTTTTAATTTTCTTACCACATCGCGTCTTATTATGTGGAAGCACTCATGCATGTGTTAACACTGTGTCAGAAAGAGGTTTCAGAGTCAGCTCACATGGTCTGTTCCCTGTGGCTTGAGTGGAACCACAAACCACAGTCCTTTGTGGAAACTTCTGACTGAGGTTCCTCCCTCACAGAACTGTGGCTCTGTTCTGTTCTCCCCAGGAGCTGTGCCTGATCCGTTTCCAGCCGGCGACGGAGGAAGAGGAAGTGGCCTACATCTCTCTCTTCTCTTATTTTAGCAGCCGGGGGAGGTTTGGTGTGGTGGCCAACAATAACCGCCGCATTAAAGACCTCTATCTCATCCCACTGAGCTCCAAGGATCCCATCCCTTCCAAGCTCTTACCCTTCGAAGGGCCAGGTAAGCAACTATAGGGAGAAAAGGCCTCCACACCCATTTAACAACCACAGAGCTCCGTATATAATAAGCACTACAGGTGTCACCCCAAATTTTTTTTAAAAAGAAAGTACATTGTGCTAATTAACACCTTAGGGCTTAGGTCAAATAAAGGGATTTTGTTTCTCAAAAAAGTTTTTTGTGAGTGTGTTCTGTTGGTGGTGGCTGTTTGTGGAACACCTACACTGCACATCTCCATCCCTGCAGGAAGGAAAGGCCTGAACAGCGTTCACAGTGTGCTTTTCCACACTTTCCTTTATCTCAGGGTTATTTTTTAAGATTCTGAAAACGGGTAAGTATAATGTGTGAAACAAATTCCGGAATTTGTGGGATATTCATAAAACAGGTGTCTTCTGATCACTGAGAGGGATTTTGTTTCTCCGTGTCATTTGTTACTCTGCTGAAGTGGTCTGGTTGTTTTTTCTTTTGTATGTTTTGTATGTGACCTTGTAATGTCCAGTACCATTTTAAATAAAAAGCATTACTTGTCTTCCAGTGGTAGAGTGTATATCGGCTATATCAGTCTTGTGACATGCCCATGAGCTCCCAGTGTGTTTCTGAGCTGCTGCAGTGCAGGGAAACATGAGAGATTACATTTGGAATACCACTGTGCATGAAGTGAAATCCAGCTCCCAAGTTAAATTCACTGCTCATGTTGAGTTGGTGGAAGAAGACCGTCAAATCTACATCAAATCAGTCGTACCTTTTTGACATACCTTTTAAGGCCGCACATGCTGTAAAAAGGGGGGACTTCACTCTGTCGATGCTGATCCAGGAATATTTTGGGCCTAGTCTGGAAGCATGCAAAATGAACTGTTTGCTTTGGGTTTCTTATAGTGTTAATAAGCTTTTTTTGAATATGAGTCTTCCATCGCTACAACAGCAACAGTGCTCTTTTCTGTCTGCTATAGAATGCTGTATTATTTCTCAGTAAATGTTTTGATAGAACTTTGGTGCTGTTAAATGTCAGAGGGAGGACAGTTGGCACATTTCCTCTGCAAAGCATCACTGGGGATGTAAACAGATTATTCATTATGAATTACTGGGGTAAGTTCACAGAGACTGGCATGGTCCTGCTGAAGTGGTGATGGGGCTTCAAATAACATCATGCCTGTATAAGATGAGCAGGGAGAGCTTTAGTGAGCCAGACCAGGGCAGTGTGGACACAAGACTGCTACAGAAACCACTGTGGAAGCACTTCTCAGCCCTGAGGCACAGAGAGGATCACCGCTGCTGGAAGTTTAAAGCTTGCTGGTCAATGCATGTCACACTCTTAATCTTAAACTGCTCAGTACACTGCACCGTCAGCCCTTTGTACAGTGATAGCCACAGTCCAATACTGAGAAGACAAGGAGCATCACCACATGAGTGCCCACTAATAATATAACCATGATTACACTTTAAATTTGTCCTGCAGGAATATTATTAGTTTAATACTGGTTTACTGGTAAAATTGTTAGTTTCCAATTTGTATACCATTAAAAAATAATGGTATATAGTTAAAACAATATAAGAAATATTTTGAAGAGGCTTGTCTTACTGTAAATATTTGAAAAAAAAATCCTTTCCTACAAACATTTTGAATTATCTGAAACAGTTTTGTTTGATCTTTATCACTTGTAAGTAGTCAGGTGGATGGGAAACAACAGATGTGCAAATATGAATGCAATAGGAAGATAAATTAACCTTTGAGTTTACCGGTAACATGTAGTCTCTATATTCAGCTTTGCCTATACTGTAGGTTGTGTTAAATGACATGATACACACTTGCATTAATTCATTAATTACATCATTGTATTTAGGGAACCCTTTGGTAGAATTTTCAGCACATGGGATTATATATAAAGCTTTGAGACATCAGCAACCACTATTAAAAACAACAAAATATACGTTAATCTGTATAATACAGACCTGATCTTACGTCCTTTAGCATATTTACACAGTGTTCAAGGTGTGTACACCTTAAATGAATCACTTCTTAATATCCACATAATCGGATTGATTTAAAAAATGTAATTTCTAAATCATGGTCATGGTCCTGGAAGACTCATTCGGATTTCTCATACATCGTGCGTCTTGGTCATAAGCCAAGATTGATAAAATTGAAAATGTTAGTGAAACCCATTAAGTCTTATGACAAAATTCCATTAACTAGCAAAATCAACAAGATTGTTAATGTGAAATTTGTGCAGTTTTTGGAGGTGTTTCAAATGCATACATAGCCTAATCTGTTTTAAAAAATGTAATCCATTTGCAAATGTATAAAGATATAAAATGCTCATTCATATAATACTTCCCTTCAGGTAATAAGACATTGTAATACACTATATTTTCTTTCCACAATAGTTCTGCCATCAAGCATAAATGAAGAATTCCTTGTTTCTAATTGCCTTGTTTAAGGTGTCTACTGCTGATCAAACTTAGTTTTTACATGTCACCTGAAGTAGTTAAATGACCCTGTATAGCAGTTGCAATTGGTGAATTAAGCCTAAAGAAAGACCTGAGATATATGCACAATGAACAATTAAAATAAATTAAAGTAATTGTTAGTAAGGGCATGCTGCATGAAAGAAATTTTAAAAATGATAGAAATTTTGAAAGGTTTTTCCAGGGATTCTAAATTATTTTTTCTTTCTTGTTAATTTCGATTTCAGACGTTTATCTTTTGTCTTCAGCTGAATATGGTGTAAAAGCCATTGGAGAAAATTTAATGAAACAACCAACTTAATGAAATAGCTTCTCAGGTTCAACGTGCTGCAGTATTTACTAATTTACTAATGTAAATACTGCCAATAACTGAAGATGTGATATTCATTACCTAGAAGAATGTAAAATACTGAAAACTGTAATGATGCATACTGGTGTACTAATGCTTGGATTTGTGAGAGAATGGAGATTTGGTGCTTTGTGCTACAGTATATTTCTTTTTAAAACATTCATGCTTTGTATGTGTAAAATACTTGTGTGTAAAAAATAATGCATTCCTCAAGTCTGTTTTTAAATCTTTCTTTGAATTTTGAATTTGAATTTTTACATTAGTAAAAAGTATATTGGATAGAAAGTGTACTTTCTAATAATACATAGCAATTTATTTTCTAAATTGTGTTAATTTTTATTTTTATTAATTAAGTTTTATTTTGTATTTTTGTTTTGCTTTTTTCAAAGCAATATTAATATTTTTTAAGAAGTCAGCATCACAATATTAAAGCTTTTCTATTGCCTCATGTTTTGTAGGGTTGGAGCCATCTCGTCCTAATCTTCTCCTCGGTTTGGTAATCTGCCAGAAAATGAAGCGGTCTGGTGTCCCCTCTGAAGGGGAGAAAGGATATGAAGAGAAGAAACCCAAAGTTCAAGTCCGCGATGAGGAGGATGCCTCCGTTCCGAAACTTCCTTTGCTTCCCAAACCTGAAATTAAACAGGAGAAGATCCATCTTTATAATCCAGAGTTAGCCATTAGCACGACGCCCCCAGGCTCTCCACCGCCATTGAATTCTTCAGAGTCCTCGTCGAACTTGCTTGGTAACTCTTCAGTGCTGTCGTTGTTGTCCTCTGTGAAAGCATCTACTTCTGCTCCTGCTGGTATGGATTCTTCATCCTCTCCTTCTACGACTGCTGCCTCTGGCACAAGCAGCTCCACTCCTCTTCAGCACATCTTGAAAACTCTGTTTGGCAAAAAGAAGCCAGACTCTGCCAGCTCCTCACCGTTAGACCAGGGTTCTGTGGAACATGCTGTGCCTTCTGCCCCACTGCTTGATCCTATTGTCCAGCAATTTGGCCAGATCTCCAAGGATAAAGTCATAGAGGAAGATGAAGATGACCGACCCTATGATCCAGAGGAAGAGTATGACCCAGGAATGGGATACGGGACAGAGACTCCCACTGTTGCAGACAAAGTGTTTGAAGCTAACAAGCAAGTCGAGGCTTCTGACACCGACGATGTGGCCTATGATCCTGAGGACGAAACAATCTTTGAGGAAGCCAAGGTTGTTGTCAGTGATTTTCCCAGCCGTGCCTTGGAAACAAAGACCAAACAGGATAATGAGACACTTGGTCTCAGAGGTGATCCTTCTTCTCTGACCGAGCAGCAAAAGATGCTGGAAGAGCTGAATAAGCAAATTGAAGAGCAAAAAAGACAACTTGAGGAGCAAGAGGAAGCCCTTAGGCAGCAAAGAGCAGCAGTAGGTGTCTCCATGGCTCACTTCTCAGTATCTGACGCTTTGATGTCACCACCTACTAAATCCTTACTGGCAAACAGCCAGTTATTACAGCTGGGCAAAAAAGTGGAGGACCTGGTGGCCAAAACTCCAGTTGCACAAGTCATCAATCAAAGAAGGGATCCCAGGCAGAGTAGGGATCCCCGGCAGGCAGCAGCCAACAGAAGACTTACATCTGACTCGGAAAAGGCAGAAACTGCAGGGACATCTGGTGAAGTCTCATCCACAACACAGCCAACTGAATCCCAAAATCAACCAGAGCCAGAAATTGAGCCTGAGAGCACAGAAGTATCTATCCCGCTGCTTGGTGAAAAGATCGAACCTGACATGGAGGACAGCTCACAGGAGGAATCTTTATCTGCCCCCAAAGGGAAACCTACACGAGACCCTAAGGCTGAAATTGAGAGTGACCCATTTACGACGTGGCCAAATTCAGCAAGCATTTTAAGACCTGAAAACACTTTGAATCTTGAAACACACAAAATTTTATTATCTACTCCAGACCAAGCTCATACTATGCCTCCTGCTAGTGATTTAGCCCCTCCAGTGATGTCCACACTGCCTGTCATGTCCCAGGAAATAATGCACGCCAGCAACTTGGTGGTGGATGCTCAAGCTCCTCTTTTACCGCAGATGGGAATGCCAACCACTGAGTTCAGGAACCCTCAAGAACTGGCTACATCTGTTCCTTTCCAACCTCAGTCTGGTCCTGCAGAGTTGCAAGGGGAGAGTGACCACTCCCAGTTCAGAGATCACATGGTTCCCTATCCTCCTTTCCAGGATCAGTGGGGAGGGTCTCCCCAGCAGTTTGATGGATCCCAAGGACCCCCAACTGCACATGCAATGGGATTAAGAGGGCCTCTGCCATTTCAGCCTATGGGGCAACGTGGACCACATCCACAGGTGTTTGAAGGACCTAGAGGACCCATGCCACCTCAACAAATGGGACAGCGAGGCCCAATGCCAGGACAGTTCATTGAGGGTCATGGAGGTCCTTCACATTCTTATGATGGTCCACATGAGCCCATTCAGCAACAATTTAGTGGACCTTTGCCTCCTTTACATTTTTCTGGACCCAGGGGCCCCGTGCCACATTTTATGGGGACAGTACCTGGACAGTTTGATAATAGAGGCCCACATCCTTCCCAGTTTCACGGCCCAAGAGGGCCCCCAGCTTCCCACCAGTTTGTGGAGCATGGACTTCAGAAGCCTCTGTTGGAGACGCCGAGGGGACATGAAGAACAGCAATATGACAATGGCAGCTCTTATCTGCAAGGGATGGATCAGCATCAAGCACAGACACCCCCACACATGTTTCGAGAAAATCAGACACCTTCACCAGCTCCCTTCATGGGCCAAAGAAGTACACTGCATAAGCAATTTGAAGGGCCAAGAGGGAGCAGGCCACCTCCATCAGGTGTGGACATGGGAGGTCAGCGTTTCAACTCGCCAAACCAGTTTGGAGGCCCAAGAGCTCCATCCCCTCTTCTTCACCAGAATCAGAGGATGTCTTCACCACAGCAACGGGGGCCTTTTGATGACCACCGAGGTCCTCATCCTTCACAGTTCCAAGGTCAGAGAGGGCCCCCACCCTCACAGTTTGGAGGGCTGCGAGGTCCCCCACCGTCTCACTTCACAGACAATGGAGGACCACAGCGATTCCGATTTGAAGATCAGCATCACCTTGTAGATGGCAGACCACTTCGCCACCCTCGCCCTTTACTTCCAACTCCCATTGAAGGTCCCGTTCAAGGACCAAACCACTCAGGAATAAATCCTGACTCCCATCAAGATGAACACTGGCAGTCTGCTGATATGAGGGCAAGAAACAGCAACAGAGAGGATTCTGAGACCAGGAACAATGGAGAAAGGCAACGAGAAAGATTTGAGGGAGGACACCGTGAACGAGACAACAGCCAAGTACCATCCTGTCTTCCAGAAGAAAGACAGAGTCGATTATCAGAAGAGAGGAGGAAGGAACGGGATGGTGGTGGCAGGCCATGGGAGAGGAACCAGGGTAAACCTTGGAGTAGAGAGCGAGAATGGGACAGAAGCAGAGAGAAAGACCGGGAGACTGACCGAAGCAGAGGAAGAGACTGGGATCGGCACAGAGACAGAGAGGGAGATGGGGACAGGAGGAGAGACCGAGATCGCGACCGAGACCGAGACAGAGGCAGGGATCGGGACTGGGACAGGAGAGACTACGACAGAGACCGAGCGAGAAATAGAGACAGGGACAGAGATCGAGACAGAAGACGTGACCGGGATCGTTCAAGGAGCAGGGACAGAGACCGTGGAAAAGACCGAGACAGGGACCGCGGCAGGGACAAAGACCGCGACAGGGACAAAGACCGCGACAGAGACAAAGACCGCGACAGGGACAAAGATCGAGATAGAGACAAAGACCGCGACAGAGACAGAAGAGAAAAAAGCAAGAGTGAAGAGAAAGGGAAAGACACCAAAACTGAAGTTCCAAAAGAGAGCGAGAAACCTGCAGATACAGAGACACAGACCCCTCCTGACAAAACCCCATCATCCTAATTTCATAATCTGCTGAATCCACAACTTCAGCAGTTGTTTGACTGATAGCAGTGACAAAATTTACTTTCAGCAACTTCTAATGTATTAACAGACACCTGGAAATGGACATGGTTGGGAAATGGTTGTTCTATGTATACGAGTATACATTTTTGAACTGATTTTATGGTGCTGCTGCCGTTTACAAGTCCAAAAGTCAGACGTTTGTACCTTTTTTTAAAAAAAAAAACAATCTTTTTCATGTTTTGTATTAGTTTTAACATCTTTAAAACCAGGAATTTCGAAGTAATTTCAGTTCAATATTTGTTGGAAGGTCCCAAGTGAACCTTGTGATTTATCATTCATTTGTAAAATCGTACATTTATAGAATATTTCAAATGTTTTTGCTTCTGTTGGAATAGTTTATAATGACAGATCTCCAATAGAACTGATCATATAGAATATGTGAATGGAACCCTTTTTGGTGAAGAAATGTAAATATGTATGTATATATGTATAATATATAGGTATGATTTTTTTATCTCATTTTTCTAAGTAGAACAAAAAAGATAAGCCATACGGATTTAAAGAATAATTGTGTAAACTGGAACATACCTGTTAAGGTGTTCCATTTGCGGTCAGTGTATGTGCTTGTAAGTGGAATAAGTTTAGTGCAAGATGGGAAAATAGCCCACTATGATCACCTTTGTTAATGACCCCAACACTGAATTCTGATTGAACCAATTAAACCTCCATACAGTCTCTCTTAAAGGTTTCTTCTGCCTCTTTTGTAAAGTTTTCTTGATACTGGAAATATGTATATTTGTGGAAAAGAAATGTAAATATAAGAAGAAAGAAGCTGAACATTCATTTGAAGGAATTGTTTATTTTCTTAGCTGAACAGTTTTAAAGCACCAATCCACCCATCTGTAATCATGCCCATAAATGTTATATGGATATAAACGTATATAGCTTCACCCACATAACTTTAGTCTTCGTATGACACACTACTGCAGCTTTTAAATGTAGGCCAACATAAGAAATAAAAATATCTGGTTTTAAGAGAAGAAACCTGCCTGTGATAATGTGATAACATTATTTTGCAACTATTGCAGAACAGCAATGATACGTTTTTTTACTGTTGCAATCTTAATTGCTAAAAATACTTAAAATATTAAAATCTTAAAATTCTAAAAAAGGTTTCTTTTCTTACCTGTAAATGCCATACTAATAATATACACTTTACTGGAAACACTGGAAATCCTGTATCAAAAGATGTTCACTATGTCCTGCAATGCAATATTAAACATGTCTGTTTCACCTGTATGACCTTCTTTATCACTTGTGTAGCCTTGGAAACCTCAGTATTTCAGGGTGTGTCAGAAATGTTTTAGCTAAAAATCACAGGATTCAGATCAGGTGAAAGGATAACAACGAACTTATTTGAAAGAAATCCAGTGTCAGATGTTTCATGCAAAAAACGAATCTGAAAAGTTCATTAAAGTTCTTTCCACAGTTGCAACCACATTTCTGTTTTCTTCACAATGAACTCTGAACATCTTCCTCCATCTTGAAAAAACAGGAGGGCCCTTGACAGTAACAAGCAGATGTTAATTCCACAGCAGAAAGTAGAAGGAAGAAAATGGGAAGAATTCACACACCTTTTAACTTGTTCCTTCTACATTTCGACATGGAATTAACTCCTATTTATACGTTTGCAGTCACATCTCAACATTCGAGCCTAAGTTCTATTTACTACAGACAAAAGCCAATAAAATACTAAATAGAGTAGTGTTAATACATACATATTAAATAATATTAATAGCATCTTTATTCACAGACTAGATACTAGCAACAAGAGTGCTTCGGAAGGTCCAGACCGCACATTCGATGTCTTTCTCTCCTGTTGGGGGATATTGCCTTTTCTCACCTTTTCCTTTGAACCCCCAAATTGATTGTCGACACCCCACATGATGAAAGTTTTAAGGTTTAAAATAAGAGGATGGGTTCTGGTCCAAGAGGGGGACTCGTTCGCCTTTTACCTTGATCTTTCTTCTGGCACACACCTAGAGAGCTGCCCGTCGTGAACCGATTTTGAACCGCTGCAAGACACTTCAGTCTGGACTTGGGTGAGTGTTTGGTGAAGCTGGTGGGTAAATAATGTTGAGCATAAAAGTTTAGAAAGATCATCAGAACAGTATAAGTACAAGAATACAGTACCTTTTATGCAGATGAAGATATCTTACAGACCTGAAGAGAATGCGAGACTACATATTGCATATTTTATTAGATATAAAGGAAACAAGAAACTTAAGTTTTGAATGCAAAATAAGCATGATAAATTACTGGCTTTAAAGGGAAACATGACCTAGTATGGTATTATTTTCACATGCTAAAATGTCATAAGCTGTCAAGAAATCCAAAGTGCCTTTCCAAGTGTATTAAATGATCCAGGTTTTGAGATTTTTTAAGGGTATGTATTTCTGTGTATTTTCACAGTTCCTGAGTAGGATATCTCTCGTGACAAGCTCCTGAAGGGCACTCCTCTCAATAGACTGAAGCACAACCCCAGACTGAGGGTGTTCACATGTAAATGTAAATAGTGCTGTTGACAATCAAACAGGCTGGGGCAGAAAATCTAGGATCTCTCACTATGGTGGAGATGATTCAGTACAGATCTTGAGAACAACTTTGCTTCAGTAACAGTCAGGTTCACACAGTAGCATATGGTAGCAATGGTGTGTCACTGCTCATAAACCTTCTTTGCTAAGAAAATGAAATACATCGTGAAGCAAAGGTATAAGGCAGTGTGGGTCTTTCTGGGAAGCTGCTGCACTGGCAACAACGTAGCAAATGATCAAAAGATAAGATTCCTGCTCCCCTGTGGCCCTGAATTGGAAGAATATGTTAAAAAATGGATGGATGGAATAGAATATTGCTTTAGATACGTTATTTTTATGAATTCAGAAGATGTATGAAATCTATTGTTGATTTGAGCAATAAATCATTAATTAAAAACTGTAACATGTCCGAGACATGAAACTGAAAATGATTCTCAAGGACAGTCTGAGTTTTAATTGAACTACAGCTTTTTAATGATACAGCTTTTACACAAAATGTTACGAACGGGACATAGGCATACAGCAGTATTATGCTACATGCATCAGTCCCGCGAAAACGTGTTGGAAGCAGGTGTGAGACCAGGCTTCATGCGGGTGACGTCACATATGAAGGGATCTGCCGAGATGGAGGTGGCGTAAGGAGGCAACAAATTTGGCCCAAGAAAATTGTAGAAAACAAAAACACACCAGCTACTCCACATTCCTCGGCGCCGCTGAGTGCATTTCGAATCGAGGAGCGTTCAAAACGTCAACATTAGGCTTTTCGACCTCCGAGTCTTCCAGAAACTTCCAAGACCCTGAGGTATAAAATAAATGTACGTCTTAAAAGAGTTGTTTATTTTTTTTAGGGGAGTCTTTTCCAGAGGAGAATTCCAACTTAGGTGTATCTGTTTTTACGTGAATGTAATTCGCGAGTCCGGGAGACACAAGACCGGGGGATTCGGGGGGGCGTGCGCGAGCCCCTCCCGCTCAGAGCGCGAAACCGAAGCCCGAGGGCCGAGGGCCGGCGAGCGCCGCAGTCAAGGCCGCTAGAGAGACAGAGAGAGAAAGCGAAAGAAATAAGTCGTTTTTGGTCCAAGAAAGCTTGTGTTTTTCCAGGTACTTCGGGTCTCGCCCCCTTCTGCGTCTTACGCATCTTACGCCGCGCCGCCCTGAGGACTTGACTTGATTCATTGTGATTGTTGGAAACGGCGTCGGCTGTGTAAAAGTTACTACCCCCAATTTTAGATACAACTACTGTTCATGACTGACCTGTCTGATGCAGCCCAACGGTGTTTCACCAACGGCCCTTCGATACAATTAAGCATTTTTGTACTTTCCCTGAGACTCTGCCAGAGAAACGATTAACTTCAGTAATGTATAGCTCGCCTTCGAATGAGGGCCTTTTCGTTGGGTATGGTTAATTCATTCGTTGGTATATTATTTTTCTGTAGACATGTCGGAAGCGAGTCAGGTCCAGGCTGTATCGCAGCCGCCCGAGCCCGGCTCTCCCGAGACGGAGGAGGCCACCGCCCCGAAGGGCGGCCTGGCCTTCAGCTCGGACCTCAGCCTGGTGGAGATGACGGAGGTGGAGTACTCGCAGCTCCAGCACATCATCTACTCCGAGATGGAGGTGCAGGACGCCGAGGCGGGCGGGCCGGAGGACGCGAGGTCAGACCTCGCCGGGAGCCACGTCCTCCTGGCCAGCGCCAGCGCCCACGGGGAGGAGGGCGCCCCCGCCGGCTGCTCGGTGCGCTGC